AAATTAAAAGATACTTTAGATAAACTTGAAAGAGAAGGGATAGTATCGAAAGTAAATAAACCAACTGATTGGGTTCAAAGTTTGGTTATAGTTGAAAAACCTAATGGGAGTCTGAGATTATGCTTGGATCCTAGAGATCTAAATAAAGTAATTAAAAGGGAACACTATCAAATTCCTTCTCCAGATGATATAATTAGTAGGTTAGAAGGTAAAAAAGTATTTTCAGTTGTAGATTTAAAAGATGGATTTTGGCATGTACCACTAGATGAAGCTAGTTCTGAACTATGTACATTTAATACTCCTTATGGAAGATATAAATTTAATAAAATGCCATTTGGAATATCCTCCGCCCCAGAAATATTTCAGAAAAGAAACCAAAAATTATTTGGTGATATTGAGGGTGTGGAAGTTTATTTTGATGATATCATAATTGCAGGATCTGATGAGGTTACTCATGATATAATTATCTCTAAGGTTCTTGAAAGAGCTAGGTCTCTAAATATAAAATTTAATCCTGATAAATTACAATATAGGGTACCGGAAGTCAAATATGTAGGCCAAATTATTTCTGAGTCAGGTGTAAAAGCCGATCCTAGTCATATTAAAGCAATTATTGATATGCCAACACCAAAATCAAAAACTGAAGTAAGGAGGTTGTTAGGAATGTTAAATTTTCTGTCAAAATTTATACCTAATGTATCTAAAGTTACTGCTCCTTTAAGAGAAATCATTCAAGAAAAGGTAGAATTTAATTGGGGAGAAACTCAGGAAGAGTCATTTAACAACATCAAACAACTGCTAACCAAAGCTCCAATTTTAAAAGTTTTCAGTGGTAATGAAGATATAATTATACAGTGTGATAGTTCGAAGGATGGCCTAGGATCGTGTCTAATTCAAAAGGGTAAGCCTGTATCATTTGTGTCTCGCAGCCTGACTAACAGTGAAAAAAACTATGCACAGATCGAAAAAGAGCTATTGGCCATAGTATTTTCTTTTGAAAAGTACCACAATTTTGTTTATGGACGGAAAGTCACAGTACAAAGTGATCATAAACCGTTAATGTGCAATTGTTAAATGAAAAACCAAATTGCAAAAATTTCTGTCTATGAATGCTTAAATGATGATGATTTGCCTAAATGTTACAAAAAAGTAGATAGTAGTGTAAAAACATACTTTAAAGTTAAAAATGATCTTTATATTAATGACGACTTGTTATTTATTAATGAAAAATTAGTTGTACCTTATGGTTTGAGAAAAGATATGTTGCAATTAATTCATGAAGCGCACTTTGGAATTGAGAAATGTAAAAGTAGAGCCCGTGAAATTTTTTACTGGCCAGGTATGACAAATGACATTGAGCAGCTTGTTTCCAAATGTGAAATATGTGAAAAATTCAGAAATAGAAATCAAAAAGAACCTCTAATGCAACATGAAATTCCAACTAAACCATTCGAAAAAATTGCCCTTGATATCTTGCAATTTGGTAATCAAAATTACTTAGTAGTTATCGATTATTACTCTAAATGGATTGAGGTTTCTAAGCATAAAAGATAAGACAGCAAATGAAATTATGATAAAGTTAAAATGCATCTTTGCCAGGTATGGTATTGCAAATGAAGTCGTTTGCGACAATAATCCCTGTAATAGCTACTTATTTAAGAAATTTGCTGAAGATTGGGATTTCGAACTTAAATTTAGTAGCCCCAGATATCCTCAAAGTAATGGGTTGGCTGAAAAAGCTGTAGGAATAGTGAAAAATATCATGAGGAAAGTGCAAGATATAAGTGTAGGCTTAATGGAATATCGAAATACCCCAATTAGTGGAATAAATTTGTCTCCTGCACAACTGTTACTTAATAGAAGATTAAGGACAAAATTACCTATCAGTAATAAATTGTTAAATACTAAGATAAACAAACCTTATTCTAAATTTCGTGCACTTCAAGCTAGGCAAAAATATTATTATGATAGAACCGCACAGAAACTGCCTGAGTTAAAACCTGGAGATAGTATAACCTTGTTCAACTTTAGAACTGGGCAATGGGATAAAGGTGAAATAATTTCAAAACATAAAGCTCCTAGATCCTATATTGTAAGAAATTCAAATGGGGAAATATTGCGAAGAAACAGACGCCATATAAAATTTTCAAAATCACCTTACAAAGTTAATAATGATTATGATGATATAGTATTAGATAAAGAGGAAAATTCAAATGGAAGCCCTGAGAATGTTTCTGTGCCTGTTAATATAGGAAATCAACAGAATAATCTATCCAATAAGTACAATAACAAGAAGTGGACGGTTGATTAGACAACCTTCAAGATATAGAGACTTTGTCATGGAATAAAATAATGTAACGTATTGCATATATCATTTTTATGTAACTTTTTGTTATTGTATGTCATATTGTAAATATACTTGTATTGATATTATTTGGTATTTTTATTATTGTTTATAAACTGGAGGAAGGGATGTGATGTATATTTAAAATAACTTTAACTTTAATGGCGCTCATGCTATGCGATTCCGTTGTTGTGATGCACGTGTTACTGTGCTAGCTGAATGTCATGTGAACTGTTTAAAATTGTAATAATAAAAGTTTTGAATTCTTGAGATATACTCATTAGTTGCGTCTTCTTTTAAAGTACAGAAGTAATAAATTCAACGAACTACACAAGAAGTTACAGTGTTCTCTGGCACAATTGTCATTCTGACATCATGCACTTATTGCCAAATGGCTGTTATTCTTAATCAATCTTGTACTGGTCGTTGGGTAACATCTCCCGTACTAAGAAACCTCTGCCACGGTACTGAGATCATACAGAAGTACATTCAGAATTAGAGACACTTCATTTTGAGACTGTTCACATTCCAACATTCCAATACTTCTTCCTTTCAAAAACATTTTCATTTGGCGTCTTTGTGCCTTCTTTGGCCTTTTTAACCAGCTCCTCAGCACAATTGCACAAAACCTGTGTGATCTCCGTATGGCATGCAAAATGGTTTTATACTCTTTCTGACGTGTGCATGTGTTTTGACCAGGTTGACATCGAGTTAAATGTTTTGCATATGCACACTATTTTACTCACAAAGAATGATTTTCCACAAGTGATTTTGAACAATTTAATTAACATTTACTCCCGTTCTTCCACATTTTACGAATTATGCTTCACTTTTGGACACCAGTGTAATTTAGTTTGCCTAGCTCGGTTGACTGCATTAAAAAGTACTCAGGCTAAGAAATATATTTTAACATTTAAAAAGTGATGGTAAACCTGAAAGGACTTTAGTATAGATAGCTCATAGAAACAGAAAATAAGAAAGAAATGTTTTAGCATACTTTTAAGAATACTTACATATGTTAAGTGCCTAAACTGCACTGACGCGGTTTTAAGTACCACAACCACTTCAGCACAGTTCAAAGCTTTTTTGCAGAAAAGAATAATGACTTACATTTGCAAAAATGAAATGGCAATGTTGCTTATTAAAATAGCAGAGTTGTCATGCGCATAACTGTCATAATTTGAAGCATACTGAAAATTTGGCTACTTCTACTAAGGTGGTTGTGCTAATTCATAAGCACCCTTTTGCGTAAAATACAAAAATGCTCAGGTTGATGGACATTATGTGTTTCCATGCATAGAAAGAATAAAATACATGAATCTTTGATGTGAATTTCTCAATTTTAAATTAATATTGCAACTGAAGAAAACACTTCCACACAGAACCAGAGTACATTTCATATAGCTTCGTATAAACATACGAAATCTGTCTTAATCTGTCAAGTTTTAAATAAGCTTAGATTAGTGACTTCATGATGCAACAGCATAGGTATACACACATACAATTATAAAATGTTTTATAAATAGGGTGTCAGGTTAAATTTTACATTTACTTGAATCAGAACTATGTAGCTAAATAAATTTAGCAAATTAAATTCATTCATTCATAATTTTGGATGTTAAATTATCAATAAGATCTGTATAACTACATCAAAAACAAAAAGATAATTTGCTACTTTTCTTTCTGCATGTACATCATTTTCATTCCCGCTCTTCCATGTACATTCTTTTATCTGTACTCCTCCAAAATAAGCCCTGTTATCTCCACTACTCAAGTCTTATGAATGGGAGACATTGTCTCAACAACTATTAAAAGTGAAAGAGAAACTACTCAACAGTGATTCATGGATAAATAATCAATGTTATGATGCTGTACCAAAAATAAGACAAAAAAGCATTACCCACAATTTTCTACCTCAAAATCCTTTCCCTCTCTTCACACACACAAACACAAACACAGAACATTTGGAATAAATATAAGACATCTGGCTATTTTTATCAAAAACACTAATGTTCTAAGGGAAAGAAATATGATTAAATGGAACTATGCTAAATTGATCTTGCTTTGTTTTTGATAGATAAGACATTCAATATAAAAATTTCCTAAATTTGTTGACAAATTAGAATATCTATTTCATCAAGTGTCACAACTAAAAAATAATTTTATTTTAGAACCTAATACATCTGAAAAGAAATACTAAAAGAAAAAAAAATATGTTTAAGTCTGTTTCCTTGATAAGCTGTAAAAAGAGATAAAATACAGCGAGTATTTAAGCAAGCTTAATATTTCATGAGTAGTTAAATATACATGCTCCCACTTAAAGTTTTAAGAAATGACAATAGCATAATAACTTATGTGTTAAAGATAACTTTTTCCTAACACAGCAAAATCCCTTGAAACTTGTACCTCATTAACTGGCAATAACAATATAATGGCACGCTTGAGTCTAAATTTAAAGCTGAAATTTTGGTCTATTAGAGAAAAAAATAAGCAATGGGCTATAGACTTAAATCTGAAAAGCATTTCTGTTATTTTTCTGAGATTATTTAAAATGAAAGGATAGTAAATTAATAGTAATAATATAAATTAAAAGGGATTCTAATGAATTTTTAAGTGAATGTACATGCTTGATTGGTGGAAGAATTTAAACAGTTACCTCAAGTTTTTAGATAAATCTCCAAAAAATCTCTTTGTGGCTGAAGTTTCAATAAGCCTTGTCTCTTTCTTGCCATAGCACTTGACTCTTTTCATTTTTGCAGCAAAAAAAACACTTCCCTGCAAAAAAGAGGATTGCTTCAATAAAACATAATATAGACTAAGCAGATTTACCTTTTAGTATATGAACAAGTATTGATTACAAATCTGTATATAATTTACACACAACAACATCAGCCTTCATAAACCATTCAACTTTAAATTATTATGCCATTGTTACTTTTAGACCTGCAGAAGTGACACATGAAAAGTGTGATAATAAGATTTTCAACCCAATTAATGTGTTAGTATTCAAATACTGCATGCTACTGTTAGAATTGTTTAGAAATTATCTACGAAAAATAAATGCTAAGCGACTAGCACTACAGTGAAACCTTCAATTAGGCAGGTTTGAATACAAGGTTTCACTAATACTTGGATCTTTTTCAATATAATACAGTAAAAGTCCGAGATCCGGACTTCGGCCATTCTAGATTTGGGATTTTTCCAGAAATTAGATCATCAGTTTAACGCTTTAAAAGATGGCATGTAGAAATTATAAAATTAAAAACATGAAATTGTGATTTATGAAATAATTAAGCATTTACGATCTAAAGCAGGGTTTCTTAAACTTTTTCCAGTCATAGCCCTTTTTTTATAACTGAGATTTTTTTCACAACCCCATATTTACAAAAATTTTGTTTAGCATTGCGCGAATCCGATACACGCATGAATGAAACTGTTAACTTTTTCACTTGTAGTTTAGGTCATTAACTTTAATTTCTAATTTTTAGACATAGAACAATGTGAAAATTTTAAATAAGTAACAGACAAAATGACAGTGTCACGTGCAAAGCAAGTAAAATGAGTGTTTATATTATAAAAAGAATGCGTCAAAACATTTTTGATTTTTCTTTGTCTATATTGTCTTATCTTTATCTATTTTCAGATACATTATGTAAAAACATTTCGTAATTGCAAAATTATTATAATAAGTTAGAGAAATATCAAAACTGCTAAAATTTTAGGCGAGCTCCTGCTGCAGGTCCCACAACCCCCACGTCATCGTGACCCACAGTTTAAGATGCTCTGATCTAAAGGGCAACAAAATTAACCAAAAAAAAAAAAAAAAAAAAAAAGCTTAATATTTATTTGTTTACTTTATTAAACATTTCTTTCAATATAAGTTGTTTAAGTTGATTTTCTTTTGTGCTAATATTTTCTCTTTAATTCTGTGGACAGAAATAATTTCTTATTCAGTTACAAAGTTTCAAGTTCTGTAATTGCCGTGTCAAGAATTACGACTATTTTGTCAATTGAAAGTTTTTCGTTTTCAATAACCTTCCTGTCACTTTCTTCACTATTAGTAGTGGTATTTTCTGTATCTAGAACCATACTACAGATTTTGCCATCTGTTAATTGATTGATAATTGGGGCAATGCCATTGCAAAACCTTTGGTTTGCGATATCTGAAAACCTTCAGATTCACAGCTATGATATTCATCAACCTCACCATGAAATATGCTAGCTGGCCATAAATTATGTGAAGCATTTTTTAAAGTATCTGGAGACACATCCTCCTACAAAGCAGATTTTACGTTAAAATATTTCAAAAATTCTTGAATAGTCTTGCCATTATACAAGAAATTTAACACGGATTTTAAAAATTCTACTTTATATTTCCATTTTAGCATGCGCACTATTCCGATTACCATTGGCTGAATGACTGATGTATAATTTGGAGGTAAGAATAATAACGATACATTATCTTTCACTAAAACTTTAAGTGAAGTATGAGCTGAACAGTTCTTTACAATCAGGATAGAAATTTACCGCCTGAGGCAGTCTCTACGGGTCCTAAATTCTGGCTACCAAGTGCCTTCCTAAGTTCTAAATTTTTTCGGCCCCTAAATTTTGGATCCCAGTGCTTTCCCTAAATTCTAAGTATATTTTCATCCTTTAATTTTGTTGCTCGCTGCTTCTCTAAATTCCAAAAATCTTATCTTTCCTAAATTCTGCCACCCAGTGTGGCCATACCAAGCTCTGGCACCAAGTCTGGATTTACATGAAAATTCAAATCAGTTATTCTGAATTTAAATAGCACTAAAAGTAATCTTTTGGTCGATGAGTATCATTAACAAAATCTATTTTTAGCATATGGAAAGAAACTTTTGTTAAATTTTTCCTCGCCAGTTTTTCTTACTGCATTTAACTTAAGATCTGTAATCATTGGCAAGCGTAAGAATATCAACATAAAATGTTACCATACTCTTTGCACTAATATAAAAAAAAAAGTGTTTGGCATCACTTCATGAGTCATTACTCAAGTTGCTATGTGTTGATAAATATGCGGTCATGAAAACAAAATATAAATAACGATTCGCCAGGTTGGCATCAGAGATATAAAATATTAGTAGGTGTAAAATCAATGATGTTTCTATCCAGAATGCTTCGGTTTGAGATGTATGCTAAGCAGAGATAAATTATTGTTCACACAAATTTATGCTAAATTGTTTCTTCAAAAATGAGATTAGAATCTTCAATAATGAGGCTTTTTAGTGCCGAAGAGAAATTAAGAATAGGACTCTCCAAAAGTTTTATCTATGAAGGGGAAAACAAATGCTCATCCATAAAGCATTTAAAAAAGAAGTTGTTGCCGGTTTTAAGGTCCGGATTTTAAATCATTCCAGATATTGGACGTCTGGGTCTTGGACTTTGTACCATACTGAAAAATGTTTTGATAATTTACAGCATTCTGAAAAAAATTAAAATTAATGTAATTTACAAATACCATAAAACTTTAAAAATTATATATACCTTTAATGCAAAGAAAAAATACATGCAGATGTTAGATTATAGTTTATTACAAAAAAATAAACACACACAAATACAAGGTAATTTAGATTTGGGTAAAGCTAATACTGATAAGCACTACTGTTGGATTATTAAAAACAACTTCCAAATAATTAAAAAAATTAAAAATTAAAGAAGTTAAAAATCTTACAGTTTACAATATCTACTGCTATGACTGAAAATCTCTATACGTCTCTTCACTCAAAGAAATCTATGAAAGTCTTGAACTTCCAAGTTTTTTCCCCTGAAACGCTTACTGTTCTAGTTTTACAAAAATGGAAAGATTATCTTTGTTTCTCACTTTTTAACAACTTTATCAAGCATGCATATATAATTTACCTACAAACAAATGGTATTTCAATGCAAAGTTATTTGGTTTAGTAACCCCAATTTATTTTCTAAAGAATTTACGTTTTTTAAAAACCTTTCTGAAAATGATTACAATAAATTTGCAAATACATTCAGATATATTAATAATATTACATTCAACAATAATAATGTTATTGGAATAAACAACATCTACCCCAAATGTTTAAAACTTAATAAGACCAATAAAAATCAATTTATTGTAATTATCTGGATGTTAGCATTTACGTTGTAGGATTGAAAAGTTCCTGGACTGAGGCTATAATATTCCCCCCCCCAGTAGTGCAACTATGAGAATGTTTTTGTGTTACTATGTTCTCCCCTTTTCTAAAAGTGATTTGTCCCAAAATCACGCGGTTGAAAGCCCGCGGCGACAGCGTTTTTTTCAGGCGTTCATTTAGTAACTAGTGATAGTAAGAAATGGCATTGTTGAGCAGACAATCAATACCAAATTTAGTGTTTGCTTGGGAAAGAGTGCTACGGAGACTTTCGAAATGTTGAAGCATGTGTATGAAAGTGAATCGTTATCAAGAATGCAAACTTTTGAGTGTCATCGTCGTTTCAGAGAAGGCAGGGAAAGTGCTGAAGACGACCAACGCTGTGGCCGTCCAGTGACTTTGCACGCTGATGAAAAAATGAAAAAGGCGTCTGCGACGGTACATACGAACAGGCAGCAAACAATTTGCCAAATCAGAATCAGTTTATGCAGTAATTTGCAGAATCAGTTGGGATATCAGAGACCACATGTCAACGGATACTAACTAAGCATCTTAACATCCATAGAGTGTGTCAACACATGTTCTCTGCATGTGAAACGTAGACCAAAAGGGAATTCGAATGTAAATGGCAGGACACTTAATCTTGGCTGTTGACAAAGATCCTTCCCTACTTGTCAGAATTGTTACTGGAGACAAGAAATGGTGTTTTTTGTATGACCCACAAACCAAGAGAGGATCAGCAACGTGGAAATCTCCACAGAAGCAGAAATTCCACAAAGATCGCTCTAAAGGAAAGGTCATGCTAGAGGTATTCTTTGATATCCATGCCATTGTGCATCCGGAATTAATCTCTGAAAGACACACTGTGAACAAAGAACTCTATGTCAAAATCCTGCATTGTTTGTGCGAGTCGATCCGAAAGAAGAGACCAAAAATGTGGGCTGAGCATTCATGGGTGCTGTTGCATGACAACTCTCCTGCTCACCGATTCCTACTCATTAATGACTTTCTTGCGAAAGCGAAAACTACTTTTTTGTCTCATCCTCATTACTCACCTGATTTGGCACCCTGCAATTTCTTCCTATTTCCTAAACTGACAAGACGCTTACAAGGTCGTCAATTTCAATCATCAGATGAAGTTAAATGTGATCACAGGCTGAATTAACCCCTTAACTGCCGCGGGCGTATATATACCCCTTGCTCAGCCGATGCGTTAACTGCCCCCCAGATGCGCAGCCGATGCGTTAACTTTGCGAATAATTTTAGGGTGTAGCAGCGCAAAGCAAATGATAGCAGTTGGAAGGACGTATATATACGCCTGGGGCAGTTAACGCATCGGCTGAGCAAGGCGTATATATACGCCCGCGGCAGTTAAGGGTTAAAGGACATGGCCAAAAATGGATTCCAGACATGTTTCGGTGAACTTACAGGTGCTGGCAAAAGTGTGTTGTTGCACAAGGGTCTTATTTCGACGGAGGATGTGTTTCTGCAGTTTAATTCATAATATTTTTTACATTATAGCCTCAATCTGGGAACTTTTGAATCCTACCTCGTATAATCTTAAAGAAGAGAATTCAATTTTTCAGCAATTAAACTTATAAATTGCAATACCAACATATCTAAAAAAAAAATTATTTAAAATTTATTTTTAATTTATTTGCTG